GGGTTTAGGCTTCAGGGCTTAGGGGGGGGTTTAGGGTGAAGGGTTTTGGGTGTTTGCTTCTAAGGGCTTGGTGAGTTGAGGGTTGCTCTTAGGGTTTAGGGGGTTTTCTGGCGTTTAGGGCTTAGGATGCTTGCTTGGGTTTCGGGCTTCGGGTTTCTTTGTGTTCTTTGCAGGGCTGAGATTGGGCACTTGATCGTGGTCTCCGAGAGACAGACTCGCATGTCCTAAACCCACGACCCTTGTGCCTTAAAGCCCGGGAACCCAAGTAGCACTTGTAACCTGCAGCAACGTCCCTCTTGAAGGATTCACGGCGGGTTCGGGGCAAGGTCATCCGACTTGCATAGCTAGGGTCACCAGAACGCCCCATTCAAAGCCGATAGAGCCCTACAATAACCGTATAAACTATATATATATATATATAACCTATAAGCCCTTCAACCCTAAACCGCTACTCCAACTGCCTTCTAGGATCGCACCAGAGTGGATAAGGTAGAGCGGTCGGTGCAGATCCCCGGGGACGCAGAGCATGGTCCGGAAAGCTTTGAGAGGCAGACGGCTGCAGTACCTCCAGGGCTTAGCGTTTCTGTTCTCGAGTTCGGATCTTAGGGCTTCAGGGCTTCAGGGTATAGGCGCTTTAGGGTTTAGGGTTTAGCGCAGAGGTGGAAGCCTTAGTTTACTTCAGTGCCGCGGAAGAAGCCCACTAGCTCTCTAAGAAGGGGGCTGCGTAGGTCGTCCAGCCCCTAAAACCTGAATCCCCACACGTGTCTCAGAACCTCTACGAGGCCCTAGAGCTACCTCCAGGGGCAGCCCATGCGCGCGCCGTCGGACAAGAAGACCTCACGGAAGGGCTCGAAGTTCACCCGTTGCAGCATCAACTCGTGGTCTCGCCGGAAAGCCGGATGGAGGTTCATCCACTCTTCCTCGGGGTTTAGGGTTTAGGGTTTAGGGCTAAAGCTGAAGAACTGAACTTGAGTGAGTGCATTCGAATGTGTGAATTTTTACAGACAAACATATGCATATGCATAGGGGTGCTTGTTCGCCTTTGCTCATTGATGTGTATCACTCCTTCTCCCCATTACGTTGAACTGAGAACATCCATCCTGCGAGCCAAGCATCTTGCTGCTTGATCTTGTACTTTAAGATCCTCTTCTCCAGGTGGGTCATGGCCTCCGCAATCTGTTCAGGTTTAATCCTAAACCCTGAACCCATCAAAATCTAGAAAGCCCATACAAACCCAAGAGAGCCCTGAAATTACCTGTGTTGAAAAGGAGCACTCTAAGCGCTAGCGCTGTACACTCACAAACATTCTTGAACCGCCCCTCAACCCTAAATTTAAACCCAAAACCCTCTTCGCTAAACCCTTTCTCCCGAAACCCAAAACACGAACTACCACTCCCACTCCCACTACCCCTACCACTACTACTACCACTGCCATTACCAACACCACTACCACCACCCCTACCCCTACCACTACTACTCCTACTACTACTACTACTACTACTACTACTACTACTACTACCCCTACCACTCCCACTACCTACTACCCCTACCACTACTACTCCTACTCCTACTACTACTACTACTACTACTACTACTACTACTACTACTAGTACTACCACCACCAGCGCTCAGGTCGTGGCCATGTCTAGATCTTCGAAGAGATCCTCCGCTGAGGCGAGGATGCTTCGCACCCGAAGCTCCTCCGCCAGGTTGCCCTTGATGTTGCCTTGCTTCTTTAGGGTTTAGGGTTTAGGGTTTAGGGTTTAGGGCTTAGGGTCTAGATTTTGGGTTTTGTAGGATTTGTGGAGTTTTCGGGCTGATAGTTCCGTTGAGGCTTTTCCCGAAAGGGGTTTTATGGTTTAGGTATATTTTCGAAGGTCTAAACTGCACAGGGCCTTTGACAGGGCTTACTGGGTTTCACGGGCTTCGGGTCTATCTGGTTTGGGATGATGTGTTTCTTCTAGGTGGCTTTTGACGGGGCTCTCTACAAGGGAATCTGGAATGGTTCTACTCTTGGCTGCTGGGTTGGATGCGGGTGCTTTGTAGGGCTTAATGAAGCCTGGATTTCTTGGGTCTGGGCCTTGGCTTTACAAGTTTCGCACCTTATGGGATGCGTAGGTAGATGGCACTGGAACTCAGAGCTCTTGGTGTTCAAGAACGGCCGAGCTGCACCAGATCACGCGCATGCCGCGCTGCTTGGCCTTCCGGGAGAGCTTTGCCATGCACATGGCACCTGCTGGAAGCCCGGTTTCAGGGTTAGGATCCAGCGGATTTTCTAAGCCCCTTAGACCCATATGGGGGTTGCTGATAATAGGGGATCCTAATATAGTACCCTAAACAATAGGATCCTTAATATAAGGACCCCAAAAGTAAGGTACCCCCTAATTTCGGAAACTCCCATCTTACTAAGAATATCCAGCCTGAGGCATCCATCCCGTCAAGTGCGGAGCCGTCGAAGACCAGAAACTTCAGCCTTCGGTACCCTGGCACCTTCCTTGGGGACCACATGAACCCCAAAAGGTTTTCAGGTTCATATATACCATATAGGGATTCATAGTATAGGGCTATAGGGGTATAGGGCCCCTACTTATAAGGGTCATTTGGTCCCCAAGGTTCTTGGCATCCTCCTTCTGAAAATGCTCCTCCACGGAACGCATCACTTGAACGCAGGAGCTGAAGAAGACGTAGCCCTTCAAGCTCACGATCAGGATCCAAGCCGAGGCGATATGCATGAAGCTCTGATGGCCAACCTCCCCAACCGGCCGCTCGCGCGTGACTACCTGGTCGCCCCGCTTTGGCAAGCCATCCATGGAAGGCACACGGGCATACTTTGCGATGAAGGCGATGGCAGAAAGAACCAAACCAGCGACGACGGCCCATATCATGCTCTGACCCACGGCGATGAAGACGATCAGGATCACCACGATCTCCATCCACTCACTAAAGTGCAAGAACTTCCGGGATCCCCACATGTTGTCTGTGACGAACCCCGCGCCCGCAAAGAAGAGCAGGGCACTGAGGAAGAGCTTTGGCAAGTAGTTGAAGTGCTCCACCGTACTGAAGTACGCCGCACCGCAGAGCATGGCAAAGATCATCCCGGCTCGACGGTCGTGCGCGTTGCGCATGACACCGTAGCTAATCACGTTGAACTTCAGCTGCATGTAGCCTGTTGCTGCACCACAGCATGCGAGAAGGTAGTTGAAGAGGCCGAAGGTCAGAGCCTCGTCATCTGTAGAAACCTTCAATGGGAGCTTGCTCTCAGTAGCATGGAGTTTCAGAATGCAGTCCATCGTCGAGACGATCAACATCACGCCAAGATCAGGGAGTGTGGCGGCCCATGCGTCGAAGTTGATGTTTCTGGTCGACCCAATACTGTCCTAGGTCTTGCTGTCGTGAACGAGTTTCTTTCACGCATCTAGCAAAACTTATGTGCTCCCCAAACGTTACCAGTCCTTCCCCTCCCACAAAAAACAACTTGGAACGTTGGTGGAGCCTAGGGTCTAACCAGACAAGATAGAACGGCTCGTTCTGCACTTCAGGGAAGAGCCAGCCTCACGCGGAATGGAGGTTTTCAGTCTGTTGTCATAGCACAATTAACATTAGTAGTCGGATAGGAAGAGAAATAGCATCAGCATTAGTGATACTGCTAGTGTTATGCAATAGCATCAGCATGAGCATAGGTATTAGCATTCGTCTTTGTATTCGTGCTACGCGTTTCCGTCTTACTGTTCGTGATAGTATTAGTACTAGCTAGTACTCGTGCTGGCATCCGTAATGGCATTAGACTTATCATTGGATTGGTACGAGTACGAGTAATCAAATTGGCTTTCGCAGCATTCGCATTCGTAGTGGTTTGGTGGTATTGGAATTAGGTGCTAGGTAAGCTTTCAGTAACAAGGATTAAGGCATTTGGGATTAGGCATTAGCATTCGTATTGGCATTAACATTCGCATCCGTACTCGTTTGCGTGTTGATAATGCTAGTACTATTGGTAATGATAGGATTATAGTGCTCTTACTATCATACGCAGTAGGACGAGTAATTGCTGCTATGGGTACTTATAAAAGTGGTAGCAGTAGCGGTGGTGGTGGTGGTGGTGGTGGTGGTGGTGGTGGTGGTGGTGGTGGTGCTGGTGGTGGTGGTGGTGGTACTAGTAGTAGTCGTAGTAGTACTACTACTACTACTACTACTACTACTACTACTACTACTACTAATTACTACTGCTAATTATTACTACTACTACTACTACTACTACTACTACTACTACTACTACGAGTACTACTACTACTACTAC